AGATCTATTTTATTTTGTTTTTCTTTGCTCTATTTTTTCTTTTATGTCTTATTTTTTTTAGTTCTATGGAATTTTGTTATAGTTTGTTTTGTCCTATTTTGTGAGGAGGCCTTATTTTATTGTAGATTAAAAGGATCTCGGGTTTTTGACATAGTCTAGTCTTATTTCAATAGGCTATGCAATATAGAAATTGTAATGAAGTTTCTATCAACAAAAATTTTTAGAACAAATAAGAATTTTACAATGCAGTTACTCTTTATTAAGAAGATGTTACAAAGTAATTGAATTCATGATCTCCTACTCCTTTAACATGTCTAAATAATCCAAAAATTAATCTTTAATATATTTTTTTATTCAATGTTAGACTCCAATACTTGGACTTACTTCAACATCATTAAAAGAAAGATGAATATTAAATGGATTGATAATCTGAGGTCTTCATGGTCTAGATTAAACTACTTACAATAATACACCACAAATACCTCATTTTTCTCATCAGATATTGCCTAATACAAAATAATTATTACATATTAGTCTATGAGAATATGAGCAAAAAAAATCTTCAAAGAAGACTATGAGGTAAGTACTATTGCTTTGCAATATGCCATATGTCATGAATATAAAACCTTTGCCTGAAACATAGTGATGATTCTAATTATTGTTTTTGAGTATCTTGTATAGAAGTTAATACTGCCACAAATCCATTGATTTGGATATAAAAAATGGTAATTTTTCTTCAAATTATAAAAGGTGTATTGCCAAGGACTTGTTCTATTTTGTTGCAAATATAATAAATGGCCAATAATTGATTTTCTTTAGATTACTATTGAATTGGATTTTTCTAGCTTCTACCCTTATTTCTCCCTATTTCTAGCCCATATTTGTAGCCATTATATCTCGTTTCAATCCTTCCAGCCTCTATTTTCTTTTTGGAAATATCACCATGTACAATTCACAAATGTCATGCTAAGATTATCTAAAATGATTTCTTAATAATGATAAAAAATAAACCACAAAAGAATCTAAAAGACTATCATGTTTTAATGATGTCATTAATTACCGAAGCAATTACTCCATATAAATAGTTTTAAATTCTCAACTCAAAATGAGAAAGGGATGGGAGGGAATTAGATAGATTAAAATGGAAGATAGAAGTTGAAAATGATGTTGTATTATAACAACTAATAGATGAAAGAGTGAAAAAAATATGATATCATAGAAGATCTTATTTCTTAATATTATAAAAAATTATCCTAAAATTATTAATAATAGTCAAAAGATAACAAAATTAAAAGTGTAAATGCTACTTTTGTACAAAGTGTGCTTCTATTTGTAGGACCATAAATAAGGCAAAACAAGATATATTAGAAAAATAAATGATATAGACATATGTATAAGAAATTTGGGAGTTGAGTTTAGTAAAATTTATCTCAAGAAAATAAGAATTGATATCCAAAAGAATTGATTGCCAATTGAAATTGATATCAAACCTTAAGGCACAAAATTAGGCACCTACAACAACTTTAGGATTCTTTTACAAATAAAAGAGTGGAATTTTAGAAAAGACTTTATAAGGTTTTTTTGAGCATTGGTTTTGGGCAATTTGAGCCTTTAATAACTTTGTAAGAGCTTTACAAAGTTAGGATTGTTTTTGATAAATCTGGTTTTATAAAATAAAAAAAAGATTTACATTTGAAGAAATTTATGAGTTTGGTAGTAGATCTACAAACAAAAAAATTTAATTTGTGATTATTTTTTTTTTTATTGTTTACTAAAAATTTAAGCATGATAAAATAATTAGATTGAAGGTTATTAAAGTTTAAGCAGATTGGAGTCTTGAAAATGGGGTTTTAAAGATCAATGAGGGTTTCTAAGATTTTTAGAAATCTACTAGTTGGATTGAAGTAAACATTATGTGTATAAATAGTAGACTTGATTTCTAACATATATGTGAATTTTAAGAGATATTTAATAATAAAATTAAGAGATTTTGGCTTGAAAAGATTGCCATCAAGATTGGAGAAGGAGGTTGGCCAAAACTCGAATAGATTTTAGGATTTATCATTTATTTGGTATGTGTGATTTTTTTAAAATTTTTTATATCCGTTGATAACTTTATTATTATAAGGTGTATAGATTTTGAGTCAAAATCAATGATTCAATTATTTGGTATTGAATTTTTAATCTTTTATAGGTTTATTAAGAATTTTATTTAAGATTTAAGATTTGATTAAGGATTGATTAGGATTGGTGTAAGATCTAGGATTTGATTAGAATTTTAATTAGTATTTAGAATTTGTCTAGAATTTTGTTAGGATTTAAGGTTTTTTTTGGATTTGATTAAGATTTACTAGGATTTGATTTGGATTTGATAAGGATTTGATTAGGATTCATTAAGGTTGGTCTAGGATTTAGGATTTTATTAGGATTTGACCAAATATTTGATTAAGGTTTATTAGGATTTTAATTAGGATTAAATAAAAATTTGATCAAATTTTATTTTTTATATTTCTTTAAGGTTCTTTGTTTTTTCTTTTAAAATTTATATTTCTAGTATTTCTTTAAGATTATTTTTATTTCTTTAAAATTTTATTTTTTATATTTCTTTGAGATTTCTTGTTATTTTTTTTAGACTGATTTAAGACTTCTTTGTATTTTTCTTGTAATTTTTTTTAAACTTTTAATTTTGTATAATTTGATCTTTTAATAAATTTTAAAAATATGGATTAATTTTCAAAAAATGTTTTATTAAATAATATTAAAATAATAACTATTAGTTGATTAAATATTTTAAAATTTTAAAAGTAAATTTTATCTTTTTATATAAAATAAATAAATCTTTTATGTAATTTGGCTTAAAATTAGAACAACAAGATGATAGATAAAAAGAATGAATTATTCAAAAAATATATTTTTTTATATAAAAATATAAAATGAATATTCTTAAATAAAAATTTATGTTAGAAATATGAACAAATTTAAATTTTATTATAGTTATCAAAATTATATAATTGATGATATATAATATTTTTTAAAATTTATAAAATTTAAATTTAAAATTAGAAATTAAATCTATGTTTGAAGCTATTTTTTTAATTTATTAAAGTGAACTTGTCAAAAATTTATTTAGTAAATTAATCTTCTAGCATTAAAAGTAGTATATTAATAAATAATACTAAGATTGATCTTGTTCTTGTCAATTCTTGTTTGTACAATATTTTAATTGTTGGTACAAAAGATGGTGGCACTTGTGTATAGTGGAAATTTGAAATAATCAACTTCCTACAAACTAATGACATGACAAGTTAATTTCGGTCTACAAACAGTCTTAAATATTCTAATAGAATTACTAGAAAGTTTGAATCATAGTAATGTCATACAATTTTTGTTTAGAATAAAAGTCCTAAATATTTATATTAATCTCTATGTATTTTTATATATTCTAACCAAAAGATTATTTTAAAAAGAAGTATCTTTGTTTTGAAAGGTATTTTTTTGAAAAAATAACAAAAAACATAAAAAGTACAACAGTGATGCTAAGGATTGTGTGTTAGAATGTGATTATACTTCTATTAATCAATGAATATTAATTTGAAATAATAATCTACTCTTAATTTTTTTTTAAAATGCATAAGTTCGATAAAACAATATAGTGTTTGGAGTGGATTTACAAAATGAATTAAAAATAAATTGGTCAATGATTTTTAATTTTATAAGTGCATTACAAATATATGATGGTGCAAAACAATGATTGTTAAGATTTTAGAGATATTATTAGCAAAGATTTCAAAATGTAAGATTGTATGATTAATATGAAAGTTTTATTGTTGATATATATGTATATATATATACCAAGAAAAATAAGATATTTTTGAATAAAAGTATTGTAGGTTAAAACTAAAAATTAGTAGTATTTGTATTGAAATGTGTATGCTTGTGGCAAGATAAACATACAAAGAGTAATAAATAAATAAAAATATAGATAGTAAACAATGAAGTGGTGACATTTATTAATTGTATTTAGATCATAAAATGAATTATTTCTACCTCAAGTTCTTTCACAAGAGAAAATACTTTATTCAATAATTAAGGTGCTTATATACTAATGTCTCACATTGTATTGGATGACAAGCAACAACATTATTATTTTTTGATATGAAATCAATTCAAAACATGCATAATGTATATCTAAAACTAATGATAAATAAAAATTAACAAAAATCACAGCATGTGATTCATTTCTTGGAAATCGTCTATTAACTGCAACAACTATATATACATATATATATATATATATATATATATATTCACACACACATAATTTTTTATTTTATTTTATTTTATTTTTTTCAATTAAACTACTCTGGCAATTCCTCATTTTGGCATACTTCAGAAACTGATTGTAAGAATGAAAACACACGAATCGTTTTGGAGAGCAATGGAAAGAGTGAGTTGACAATCACCGTAGCATGACCCTACACACAACAACACCATAAGTGAAACAAAAAGGAGGCGTTGAATTGAATTGAATTGAATTAAATTGAATTGAATTAAATTGAATGAAGCAATGAAAACAGTTGAGAATGAGTGATTGTGAGAAGATCAGGCCCCATTTTCCTGTCCTGTGGAGCATCTCAAAAAAGAATAGAAATAAAAGCACAAAAAAAAAAGAGGGTGGATGGACCCCAATCTCGAGAATATACCTAATTCCAGGAATGGCAGCCCCGCCTGCTCATTCCTTCACGATTTGATGCTCTCCGCCGAGTGCCGCTCCGAAGATGCCGTCTCACCTTCTAAAAAAAACCATAAAAATATGAAAAAAAATAAAAAATAAACAGCCCATTTCTGCATCAGCAACTGTGAGTGTGTAGGTTCTAGCGCTTCGCCTTGGACAATGCTCCAGGCGTGTCCAAGTGCATTTCCGTGGGTCTTTCCTCTTATCCTCGGCGACCGTGATGGTGACGATCAGTGAATCGGTGCACTGGACTTGAAGTGTCGTCTGTGATCCTCCACCTTTTGCTTTTAGTAATTAACCGGGTTTGAGTGAGGTTGTTGAAATGACCTGGAAGGAGAGGTTGCAGACCTTCCAGAAACGTTGCTTATTGGATAGGATTCCCCACTTAGTACGTTGCTTCGGAGAAAACACAGCAGTTGTCGGCAAGTTGCCGAGTTTAACCTAACGGTGTCACCTGCACTTCCGCACGCGCACTTGTGTCTCTTGTCCCCACACGCACGATCCGTGAAATGTAGTATATGTGCCTGAATCTGTTGTAACTGGCATAGCAAGCTCGGGACTTTCAAGTTGGGGTATTGTAAAATCGTTAGCTATGGCAACCAAGACAGGAAATAGAACACTAGAAAGCGAACCGTTGGTAGGGTTAGTTAGGGAGCTGTCGGACGCATTCGACTTCTTCGACCTCAACCGGGACGGGAAGCTCTCCGTCGAAGAAATAGCGACCGTGGTGCGATCCTTTGGGGAGGAGGTTACGCAAGAAGACATTCAGATGCTGATTACCCGCGTGGACAGCGACGGTGACGGTAGCCTTGATCTCTGTGAATTCATCGACTTGAACACGCGAGCCATGAGCACATCCACCTCATTGGACTCACAATTCTCTACCGAGAATGCCGAGGACGACGCCTTACTCGCTACCTTCAACAGATTTGACATCAACAAAGATGGCTTCATCTCTGCCGACGAGCTTCACCGGTCCTTAGCCGCGTTTGGCGAGGATAAATTCAGCCTGGAAGAGTGTGGGAGCATGATCAAATGCGTTGACGAAAACGGCGATCACTTGATAAGCTTCGCAGAGTTCCAATCCTTGATGAGCGATCAGCCAGAGATGCGTGGCGCGGCGTTACAATCAGTGCTGGCGGCCGCATCACCGTCACCGTCTTGAGCACCATCGTCATAACCCCTCCCTCTCGGTGCACACAATCAATCTTGCGTCGCCATTATTTGTGTGAGTGTGTGTGTGAGAGAGTGTGTGAGAGTTGTACAGTAAAATTTTGCACATCGAGAGAGTGAGAAAAAGAGAGCTCTCGCTCTCTCTGGATGTGCTTGTGCGTCCCTCGGAACAGTTTAGCTTAGTTTAGTTTAGGGTTTAGTGTTGTTGTATTGTAAGCATGCTCCATGAATTTGCTTCATGGTTTGTTTGCTTCATGCAATTTTGAGCTTCCTTTCTTCACTTCTCCACATAAATGACAACGTTGGTGGTCGGTGGTCTAAGGTTGGATTTATGGCTAATGCACAATTGATAAGTAGAAATGAAACCATGATATTTGGAATGATACTAATGGCTATGTGTGTGTATGTGTGTATTTTGAATATGTATAACAAGAAATTACATTTTTTATTGTATAAACATCCAATGATTATTTACAAGATTCATGGATGTGACTTTGATTTTACAAGTTTGTCAACATTCTTAAGATAGAAATTTCATATATCTCTAATACCAATCATGGAGGTAATATTCCTAAGCTTGTAGAGGAAGTAAACAATGAAATTCAAAGTCTATGCTAAAAAGTTGTATAATTGAGAGAAGCAAGTAGATTAAATTTACAACTAAATTTAAGAAGTCTTTTTACTACAAGTAAAATGAAATCGGTGTCATACTATAATTGCTTACAGTATGTAAAAATTAGTTAGAACATATAATATGTTCATAAGTCTTAATGTGTGTTAGAATGGTTAATAGATTAATTTAAAGAAATTGGATATAAGAAACTTTATTTTGAATTTTATTTATTTTAATTATGGCATTTAAAAAATTATAGGACCTAAATGTTTAATATGAAGCCTTTAGCTGAGATTAGAGCCTAAAAATGAAAATCTAAACTAGTAGGAGGCTTATTGGAAGAGATGAAAATAAGGCATGGTTGGATGAATGCAAAGAATGGAAATCTTCATTCCTACTGGTCGAAGGCTATATCCAATGGGCTTCAAGGAGGCTATCTGATGCTTTATTAGGGATTAGGGTTTCTCTTTTGAGGTCATTCAAGCTTTGGAGGCTAGGTCCAATAAGTTTAGGTTTTTAAATAGGGATTGGGTGTAAATTTTGTGTAATTTGGAGTTTTTATAAAAGAGTTATTGGTGCTCAAAGTTAAGGTGTCAATTTCATACCTACTGTCTTTCTTTGAGGCATAACATACGATTACGAAGAGCAACAAATGATCGGCGACTAAATTGAAGAGATTACTTCTTGAACTACACTTTTTACATATTTTTTTTGATGAATTTGGAGTTTGGATGAAGTAGTTATAGAGAGTTGAAGTCAGCGCATCCAAATCAAAGGCAGTAAGTAAGTGATTTTATTCATAGTAATGGTTGGAGCCATACCTTGAGTTTTTAGATGAATTTTTGGCTCAAACCTTTTGGAATAGGTAGATTATTGTGTTAAGAAGCTATACATACAACTTTTGTGGCATTTTAGTGCTTATTTTGTGTGATATAAAGAAAATTATATGCAAGTGTATAAAAACTAGGATTTGAAGCTAATGTTAGGGTTTCGGTGATATCTTAAGATCCACAATGAATTTGTAGTTGAAATTTGTTGTTGTAGTTGTTAGAAGTATATTAGTACTTTATGTAAAATTTGAGTTTATTTGAAGGATCCGATTGGAAAATATAAGTTGTTGAAGTTTAGGAATAATACCCTATAAGGATATATAAAGATTTAGAGTTTTTTTAATCATATTTTGGATATTTTTGGGAACTTAAGATTTATATATTTGGTGTAATTGTTCCTAAAAGTGTTATATATATATATATATATATAATTGGTCTTTCTTATCTCAAGACTTGATTGAGCAATTAGTGATAGCTAGGAACCTAGTGCTTTCTTGAGGCAAACTCTTTCTATTCTTACATCAGACTATTTTGAAAATCTAAGATCCTTTTAAACCACAACAATATAAATTCCATCACAACGTAGGATAAAAAAAACTTATAACAAAAGAAAATAGAACAAAACTGAATAACAAGATATAAAACCAAACTTTATTAATAGAAAGGATCTAAAGCCATACTTGACCAAATGTCCAAATAGCCATGGCTAGTCCTATTTATACTTTATCTAACCATCTTGGAACTTTTTAGAATGTTCCTAATGGTGGATCTCACTTAAGTAATCGCCCTAAGTCCTTTTTAGAATATTTTATGATAGGCCCCATCTAAGTAACTATCCTAAGTTCTGTTGAAGATCAACACAAGTACTTGCTTAGTTACAACCACATAGAGATTAAGCATAGTATATTGCTAATAGTCAAAAGATAGCAAAGAGTTAAAGGAATTTACTATGGTGGCAGTTAAGATTTGTTAATAGCAGCTAGGTTAAGAAAGAAGTTAGAGATTAGTTGGATGAAGTAAAAATGGATGTAATATCAAAAGGATGGAAGTTGCCTCGTTGATTAGCAACCACTACCTATAAATAAAAGTTATTGGACATAAGAGTTATCTTATCCCACACTTCTCTTTGTGTGCAAACCTTGCTGATGCTAAGTGTTTGGAGCTTTTAGATTTCTTTTCTTCAATAGGTTATGGATCCACACACATTTGCTTGAGTGTTTTGAAGTTCTTTGAAGTGGTTGTTGATGTGTGGAGTAGATCAAATTATTGTTGATGTTAGGCTTCAAAAGTACCTAACTTTTAAATTCAGATCTAGATCTTGATCTTGGTTTACTCTTATTTATAGTTAAGAGTATTTTGGTGTTGGTGTTTAGTTTTTCACCTTAAGACAAAGTTATAGAACACTTGTATTGTATTTTTTGCTGAGATACATCTTTGGTGGTCTAACTTTGTAGTTTCATGTCCTAAAGATGCTGATTGTGCTTAAAAGTTCTATTATGGTATATAGAAGTGATTTGTGAGCATAAGAGTGATATTTGAGTAGCAATTCAAATTTGAGACATTTAGATAGGTCATTAGATTTGTGAGAAGACTTAGAAATGAAGTTGAGAGTATTTTCGAGACTAAAAATATTATTTTGTTCACAAAGAAGTATTCTATGATTCTAAAGCAGGAATACTTTCTTGCTGATTTTGAGAGCATTAGAACTTCTTCTTTCAATCTTTTTTTGATACATCTCTCTCTTCAATATGGCTTGAAGTGAAGGTGAAGGATTGAGAGTAATTGAGAAGTTTAGAGGTAAAAATTTTTACCATCAAAAGGTAAAAATGGAGCTTTTGTTGGCATCTTTGGATCTTTGGAATATTGTAGATGAAAGTGAAGAGGCTCCAAGCATAGATGCTATTGTGAAGGAAAAAAAGGAGTTCAAATGTCGTAAAAAGAAGGCTTTTGGATTGATTGCAATTAATATGGATGAAGCCAACTTCTCCTACATTATCTCCTACAAAGGACCAATAGAAGCATCAAAGATTCTTTGTAACATCTATGAGAGCAAGAACTTGTCTAACATCATTTATATAAAGAAGAAGTTCTTCACTTGTAAGATAGAAGAAGGTAAGATCTCATGGCTCATGTTAATAAGATAAAAGCTCTTGCAAACCAACTAGCAATTGTTGACAAGCCTTTAAAAGAAAGTAATATTGTCATGACTTTGCTGATGAGCCTTTCCAAATCCTACAACTACTTTATTGTGGAATTAGAATCTATTAAGCTAAAAGAGCTTACAATGAACTATATGACGACAAGATTTATCCATGAAATAAGCAAGAAAAAAGAAAAAGAGCTCCAAAGTAAAGATTTAGCATTCTAATCACGTCAAAGCAAGGAAAATTATTCAAATCAATAAGGTAATGTCAAATCTTGCTTCATTTATGGCAAAATAGGCCATTTTATTTGAATTGCTACAAACACAAAAATATGGAGAAAGAGAATGCAAATAGTATGCAAGATGAATTTGGAAAACATGATTATGCATTCACAGCAACAAATGGGACGTTTATGTCTGCCATGTCAAGATAGATTATAGATTCAGGTTGTTCTAAGCATATGACACCTTATAAGTGTTCATTTGACACTTATGAGGCTATTCCAGCATCAAATATGGTATTGGCGGAAAGTGTCACATATAAAGCCATTAGAATTGGTTCTATTATGGTAGAGGTAGTTATGAATGGACAAACCAATAGGATCAGATTAAAAAACGTCCTTCATGTGCCTAAAATGAAGCAAAACCTACTTTTAGTGAGTAAACTTATAATAGAAGGTTTTAAAGTTGAATTTGACATGAATAGATATTTTGTAAGAACATTAAGTGGAGACTAGGTCTTCAAAGGCTTTAGAGAAGAAAATATATACTACTTCATTTGTAAGAAGGTGAATAGAGTGGAGATAGCCATATTTACTGAGTTTATATCAAACCAAGACAAGTTGAATATATGGCATCGTCACCTTGGCCATTTGAATGTAAAGAGCATGAGAAAATTCAAGTCTATGATAAGTGGCTTAGATCTTGGCAATACAAGCCAAAATACAAAACAACTTATACGTGAAGGATGCATACAAGGCAAACAATAAAATGCCTCATTTCAAAATAGTGTAGCAACACGTGCTACCAAGTTGTTCAAAATTCTCCATTTTGATGTGTATCGATTTATGAAAAATATAAATATTAGAGGATCAAGGTATTTTTTTACTTTCATTGATAATTATTCAAGAAAGATTTGGATCTACATTCTTAAAGCCAAAAGTGAATGCTTTTGGAGGTTAAATGAGTTTAAATTACTTGTTGAAAAATAAAGTGAATGGAAGATCAAGGTGCTGTGTATAGACAATGGAGGTGAATACATGTCTAAGCAATTTGATATTTATTTGAAGAATGAAGAAATTTCTATATAAACCACAACTCCATTTACTCTACAATAAAATGGTATTATTGAAAATACTAATCGAACCATTGTAGAGATGGCAAAGAGCATGCTTCATGCTCAAAACCTTGGTTATGAGTTTTGGACAGAAGTTGTAGTGAATGCAGTGTATATAAGAAATAAGTGTCCAACAATTGCTCTTGCATCAATGACACCACAAGAAGCTTAGAATGGCACACAACCTTACATTTATTATATGACGACCTTTGGCTACATTGCATATACAAAAATACCAAATTATATGAAGTCCAAACTTGATGCAAAAGGTACAAAGTGTGTCTTTTTTGGTTATTGTGAAGGTACTAAGACATATAAGCTAATGTGCTTGGAAACCAAAAAGATCATCAAAAATCGTGATGTTGAGTTTTTGGAGCATAAGAATGCTTATGAGCACTTGGAGATGTGTCCAAGTGGGAGTAATGGTGTGTTTGTAGATACATTTTTGAATTCAGCAAAGAAA